GTCCATCTGGGCTTATTTAACAAAAGTCATTGTCAGCCACCTTCAATCTTTGAAGACTGGCTCTTTGAACGTTGCACCACAAATGTGCAGTATACAGTGATGTACAATATGATCTAAACAAGGATATTTGCCTGAGCAGATGACATTCGGACCTGACGGTAAATCACAGACAGTCTGTCGACACATGACCAAGATATTTTACTTCATTTAATTCAATAGAGTCCCAGACAGCTTGAAATTTGGAAATGCCCTATTTTTTTCCTCCTTAGTGCAACAGATCAAGATACTTTTTGATGGATTGAATTTATCATGTAGGTTACCAACATGATGCAGTTTCTGAAGACCAGCTGAACTGGGACTAAAAACGTCTCGGTCATCAGCATACATTAAATGATTAATAATAGTTTCACCATCCATGCAGCCAGTTCTACACAGGTTTCAGGAGATTAGAGAGATCATTCACATGAAAATTAAACAACATAGGAAATAAAATGCTTCCTTATCTCAGACGAAAGGATGCAGACATACACTTGTCCCATTTGACCTGCATAGTTTGATTAGCACACCAATAGGACAGACATCTTACTATATATTTGCCCACAACAGCGTTGCACAATTTTAAAATTAGTTTTTTCTGATTTACACGATCAAAAGCCTTAGTGGCGTATAAAAACACAGAAAAACTGTAGAGTTTTTACTGTTATAATTATCCAGTAATTCTCATGTATCAGGTTGGACTTGAACCCAAATTGATTGTCTACAGACATAACAATCTGCAAATTTTGGCAAAAGAATAAGTTCAAAGACTTCAGAGTGTGTACTAGGTTATAGTTATCAGAGCTACCTATTTTACCAGCTTTTTTTTTTTAAATCACCGGAAGTAGAAGTACATTCATCAAGCTATCAGGAATAAAAACAGGAATAATAAAATCAGTGAAACACAAGGCAAGAAGAGGGGCGACCCTTGAACTCCATTCCTTCAGATTTATTTACAGACAGTTCCTTAATTGCTTGGTAGACCTCGTGTGTTTTGATCATTTCTACAGTACTAACCTTGTCAACTTGAAAGGGTTCACTGTATACACAGGAAAATAATTTTCTGTAGTGATGTTGCCAAAATCAACAATCATATTCGTCCCAGAAGCGCCATTGACAGTGCAAGGGAGAGAGGATTTACTGTTATTGATGGTTTTAACCTCTTTCCAAAAGGCTTTTGTATCCTTACCTATAAGCTTTTTTGCCACGCAGTCAGCCCTCATGGTTTTCTTATTCTGGATAATGAACCATAGTGCATATTTGTATTTTGCATTAGACCGCTTTTTATGTTCAAATAAAGGGCCCTGCCTAGGTTTACCTGCTAGAGCCCAAGAAGTAGTAGCTTCACTGTGGTATTTAGACACATAGGTGTTGCAGCCTGGTCTGTTTTAAATCTTTATATTACTTTTATCATAAGGAAGGCCAGCTCCCAGTAGCTTCAATTATATTAGAATATAATCCAGTTATATTGGCTCTATGTCCAATAATAGAGCAGTTACCATCTGAACAAGTAACTGCCTCTCTTGGTATTTTAATGGTACATAACAATTGATCAGTTTTGGGCATAGTAATGAGCTATTTGATTACTGTTCACATTTAGTTGACACCTCGAAGGGGATGTGGTCAACAGTGGACATATTGCATAAGATATTTAGGTATAGCATAGCAAGATGAGCATCTGCTGTAGTCATACAATGGTCCAACCAAGACACAGTATGCCAAGCTTCAATTACATAAATGTAGCTAGCAGCTGGCAGACGCTCTTTACTTGACAATACTAGATTAGAATTTGTAAAAAAAAAAAGGTGTTTAGCAAACTGAGTTTTTATCTGAGATGTCTGCATTCATGTCACCCATGACAACCATGTTATGGTCAGGAATAAAATGACAAATTAGGCTTTTTTATTAGAATTTCTTTTTTTTTTTTGCGCTCTAAATTAATAACTACCCGAGTTATTTCTCATGTGGACAGTTAAATAAAAATTTTTATTCAAACCTTTTCCACAAATAAGACACCAAAAAGGCCTCGTATTTGTGTGAATTACAATATGATTAAGTAGAACATGTTTTTGACTGAAACATTTCCCACAAGTGATGCATTAAAAGGGGTTTCTCCCCAGTGTGAGTTCTATGAGCATCAAAAGCAGATTTGAAAGCAAAACACTTTCCACAGGTCATACATGAAAACGGCTTTTCACCTGAGTGAATCGTCATGTGCTCAGATAAATATTGTTTGCAACTAAAACTTTTCCCACAGATGACGCATAGAAAAGGCTTTTCTCCTGTGTGAGTTCTCACATGAACATTGAAAGCAGACTTGAAAGTAAAGCATTTTCCGCAGTTCTCACATGAAAAAGGCTTTACACCAATGTGAACCATCATGGTTACCATCATTAGTTAAAACGTGTTTTTGGCTAAAAGATTGTCCACAGGTACCACATGAAAAAGGCTTTTCCTTCCTATGAGTTCTCTGGTGAGCATCGAAAGCAGATTTGAAAGAAAATTGCTTTTCGCAGATCACACACATGAAAGACTTTTCATCTGTATGACACCTCATGTGACCAGTTAAAAGCCTTTTTGACAAAAATATTTACCACAGATCACACACAAAACGGCATTTTACCTGTGTGAATCGTCATGTGTCGAGTTAAAACCTCTTTTTGACAAAAACGTTTTCCACAAGTCAGACATAAAAATGGCTTTTTACCAGTATGAGTTTTCATGTGAGCCTCAAAAGCAGATCTGAAGGCAAAACGCTTTTTACAAATGACACATGAGAAAGGTTTTCTTCTGTCCTGATGTTGGTTCTCAGTTTCATCAGGCTTTTTTAACATGTCTTGGTTCCTGTTTGGTTCTGATTCAGTTTGGTATGTTTGCTCATCAACAGGAACCACCATGCAGGTATCAGTCTCCTGTTTTAATTCAATCAGTTCTTCACCCTGACTGCAGTAAACTTCTTTCTCTTCCACGTTTATCTGATGATCTTCTGGCTCTTCCTGTTCTTGTTTCACCTGCAGAGGTTCTAACTCCTCCTGGTCCAGAGTGGATCTCCTCTCCTGCTGACTTAGCTCATCCTCATAAACGTTATGTTGTAGGTGATCTGGAGAAGAAAACAGAAAAAATTAGGAATTCACTTCATTGAAGTAAATAAAAAACTTCCATCATTTAAGAGAGAAGTCACCCAAACAAAAAAACAAAAGAAAAAGAAAACCGGAACTCCACCGTAAAACCAACCCGGGAGCAACGTCCCCCAAACAAAAGTTCCGCTTCGCCACTGCTGCTCCGAAACAAACAAAATATAACTCGTTCATTTTTGGAATAAATCGAATAAGTCATACATTAAAATATTTTAAAATTATTTAATAAATATTAATACAACCAAAATAAAATAATGGGGTGGCAGTTTTAGGTGCGCCACATCTTCACTGCATTGATTCTCCCGTGGCTTCAAAAGTATTAACCCTTGAACTTTTCCAAATTTTATCACATAAACACATCTGAAAATATATTTCATAAGAATTTTATGTAATTATCCAACATAAAGTGGGATACAATAGTGAAGTAACACTAGACATTTAGACCTTAACCTGCATCCAAACGCTGCTGTTTCCTACCTATTCGGTGTAAGATGATCTGGGGAGTCCGGGAGAAATCAAGCAGTCTGCGCTGATCATCCATCTCTTCCTCCGACTGGACGATGATTTCTTTAAACTCTGTCAATGTTCCTGCAGTTCACTGCTCGCTGATTCACTGGTTTAAGCTGGACTGGAGATATTTATTAGAGAAACACTCAAACATTCAACAAAACAGACCACGTGCTGTCCTCTTTGTCTTCTTCTTCTACTTTTTCTTCTTCTTCCCCTTTACATTGTAACGGCAGTTTGCATCCATTGCTCTTGCACTACTGCCACCTATTGGATCCTCATATCTGTGTCTCAAATTCTCATATCTTTGATTTACATATTTTCTATACCTAATAAAAACATGTTCCATAAAATCACACCAACTTCATAAACCTGTGAGATGTTTCCCCATCTTAAAAAGAGTTCCATTTAAAAAAAACTGACTGGTTCTTATTCTATTCATAATTATCTCCTCCCTCCTGTTTATTCCTCTAACCATTACTACCATCAATTGTATATAAATGCCTTCCATTTATTTATATCCCACCTAATTTTCCAAATCTTCTTGCTTCCTCTCCAAACTATACCTTTGTCTTCAGATTTAAATAATTCTGTTATGATCAGCCATAACCTCGTTTCATCTCTTTTGCTTTGTCTTCTTCTTCTTTGGGGTTTTATGACTAACTGCATTCATGTCATTGCATTACTGCCACCTTGTGGATCCTACGATCATCACATCTACAGATTTTTCTCAGTGCCACTTCTCGTTGCAGAACGTGAAATGTTTTCCTCGTAATAGAAAAGAGCAGAAAAAACAAAAATACAACTAAGACAAAAGACACACAAAATTACTGAAGACAATAATAATCAACCAAACTTTTAAAAAATCATGAACAATCAATGAGTGATTTCATAAAGTTTTTAAATGGATTTTTTTTATCTAATCATCAAAGAAAATGTAAAGTCAGTGCATAACAGCACATTGTATTTTTGATAATTAGTGTATTAAGATAAACAACATCCATCCCTCACACTTTGTCTATACAGAATAGAATAATACAAATCAATCCCTCAAGTCCAATCTTGTGAGAATGTTCTGGAAGGGAGTCCATGTCCAGTCAAACTCTGTTAATGCATGAAATTAGTCACAATGGTCCACAAGAGCACTGAGAATGGCAGTTGACCTTTTCACTGCTTTTGCAGAACAATGTTCAAATAAATCCCAAGAAGCATTAAAAGCACAATATTATAACATTAATATGAATGCTACAATAAGATTCTGGAACATTGAAACTTTGTGAGACGATTACTTGTTATAATGCATAAATGAATAACGCTGAATAAGAATGATTAAATGTTTTTAATCCAAACAAGATAATTACTTATTGTAAGGCATGAATATATTTGTAAGCAAAACAATTACAAAACAACAGCAAGAAAATCTCTCAAGGAAACTGTTGGATCTGAACACAAAACATTTATCAAACATTTCACAATATGACGAAAGAGATACAGTTGAAGTTTTAAATGCAATAGAATTGAATGGAGAGCCAGCTTCAGGACGTCTGCTATCTCCGTCTCCAGGCCAGTTCTAACGTGCTCTCATACAACTCAACATTTATTACATTGAGGCGTTGCTTACAAATCATTTGCATAGAAGGAGACCAGATTTCAGTCACAAGTCTCTGCTCAAACAATGTTGTCATCCTGCATCCATGCAGCTGTTGTCTTCCAAGCACATTTTCGTAGGTCTTGAAGATCCTGTCTGTCAATTTCTTGAGGTTATAAAAACTTTTCTCTTGTTTCTTGTTTCTCTGGGCTACAAAACTAGAGTTTCTCAGGACTTCTAGTCTTTGATCCATTCTCCTGCTAAGGTGATAACATTTTCTTTCTGACTGGCATATTTCGTCTAGTCAAGCTATCAGTGTAGCTGCGGCTTCAGGCATTTTGCTTCTCAAATCGGCCTGCTTCCTACTGCTACAAACACACATCCTTGGTGCAAATAAATATCACATTTAACAACTTAATTAAAAAATTTCCACCACTTTATAGATGTAAACCCTCCAGTAAATAACACATTTTTATTACAATGACATTTATAGTGAACTTTTAAGACTTTTCACCAGTGTGAATCTTCATGTGCCGAGTTAAATCCTGTTTTTGACTAAACCTTTTTCCACAATTCCCACATGAAAACGGCTTTTCACCAGTGTGAATCATCATGTGTTGAGTTAAATGCTGTTTACGACTAAAACTTTTTCCACAGTTCACACATGAAAACGGCTTTTCACCAGTGTGAATCCTCATGTGCCGAGTTAAACAAAGTTTATGACTAAAACTTTTTCCACAGTTCACACATGAAAACGGCTTTTCACCAGTGTGAATCATCATGTGCTTAGTTAAATCCTGTTTTTGACGAAAACATTTTCCACAGTTCACACATGAAAACGGCTTTTCACCAGTGTGAATCCTCAGGTGCCGAGTTAATGCCTTTTTTTCACTAAAACTTTTTCCACAGTTCACACATGAAAACGGCTTTTCACCAGTGTGAATCCTCATGTGCCGAGTTAATGCCTTTTTTTCACTAAAACTTTTTCCACAGTTCACACATGAAAATGGCTTTTCACCAGTGTGAATCATCATGTGCCGAGTTAAATGCCGTTTTTGACTAAAACTTTTTCCACAGTTCACACATGAAAACGGCTTTTTCACCAGTGTGAATCATCATGTGCCGAGTTAAATGCCGTTTTTGACTAAAACTTTTTCCACAGTTCACACATGAAAACGGCTTTTCACCAGTGTGAATCCTCATGTGCCCAGTTAATGCCTTTTTTTCACTAAAACTTTTTCCACAGTTCACACATGAAAACGGCTTTTCACCAGTGTGAATCCTCATGTGCCCAGTTAAATTCTGTTTTTGACTAAAACTTTTTCCACAATTCCCACATGAAAACGGCTTTTCACCAGTGTGAATCATCATGTGCCGAGTTAAACAAAGTTTATGACTAAAACTTTTTCCACAGTTCACACATGAAAACGGCTTTTCACCAGTGTGAATCATCATGTGCTGAGTTAAATGCTGTTTTTGACTAAAACTTTTTCCACAGTTCACACATGAAAACGGCTTTTCACCAGAGTGAATCATCATGTGCCGAGTTAATTTCTGTTTTAGACTAAAACTTTTTCCACAGTTCACACATGAAAACGGCTTTTCACCAGTGTGAATCATCATGTGCCGAGTTAAATGCTGTTTTTGACTAAAACTTTTTCCACAGTTCACACATGAAAACGGCTTTTCACCAGAGTGAATCATCATGTGCCGAGTTAATTTCTGTTTTTGACTAAAACTTTTTCCACAGTTCACACATGAAAACGGCTTTTCACCAGTGTGAATCCTCAGGTGCCGAGTTAATGCCTTTTTTTCACTAAAACTTTTTCCACAGTTCACACATGAAAACGGCTTTTCACCAGAGTGAATCATCATGTGCCGAGTTAAATCCTGTTTTTGACTAAAACATTTTCCACAGTTCACACATGAAAACGGCTTTTCACCAGTGTGAATCATCATGTGCCGAGTTAAATCCTGTTTTTGACGAAAACATTTTCCACAGTTCACACATGAAAACGGCTTTTCACCAGTGTGAATCCTCAGGTGCCGAGTTAATGCCTTTTTTTCACTAAAACTTTTTCCACAGTTCACACATGAAAACGGCTTTTCACCAGTGTGAATCCTCAGGTGCCGAGTTAATGCCTTTTTTTCACTAAAACTTTTTCCACAGTTCACACATGAAAATGGCTTTTCACCAGTGTGAATCATCATGTGCCGAGTTAAATGCCGTTTTTGACTAAAACTTTTTCCACAGTTCACACATGAAAACGGCTTTTCACCAGTGTGAATCCTCATGTGCTGAGTTAAACAAAGTTTATGACTAAAACTTTTTCCACAGTTCACACATGAAAACGGCTTTTCACCAGTGTGAATCCTCATGTGCTGAGTTAAACTCTGTTTATGACTGAAACTTTTTCCACAGTTCACACATGAAAACGGCTTTTCACCAGTGTGAATCATCATGTGCCGAGTTAAATGCCGTTTTTGACTAAAACTTTTTCCACAGTTCACACATGAAAACGGCTTTTCACCAGTGTGAATCCTCAGGTGCCGAGTTAATGCCTTTTTTTCACTAAAACTTTTTCCACAGTTCACACATGAAAACGGCTTTTCACCAGTGTGAATCATCATGTGCCGAGTTAAATTCTGTTTTTCACTAAAACTTTTTCCACAGTTCACACATGTAAACGGCTTTTCACCCTTATGAATTCTGATATGATCACTGACAGCATATTTGGCAGTCAATTGTTTTTTACAGATGACACCTGATAAAGGTTTTCTTCTGTCCTGATGTTGGTTCTCAGTTTCATCAGGCTTTTCTAAGATGTCTTGGTTCCTGTTTGGTTCTGATTCAGTTTGGTATGTTTGCTCATCAACAGGAACCACCATGCAGGTATCAGTCTCCAGTTTTAATGCAATCAGTTCTTCACCCTGAGTGCAGTAAACTTCTTTCTCTGCCACTTTTATCTGATGATCTTCTGGCTCTTCCTGTTCTTGTTTCACCTGCAGAGGTTCTAACTCATCCAGAGTGGATCTCCTCTCCTGGTTATAAACGTTACACTTCAGGGAATCTGGACAAGCAAACAGATAAAAAGAAGAAGTGTTAACTTTACTGAAGTAAATAGTAGAAATTGTTCACAGTTTAAGACAGAAATGAACAAAATAACATTGAAAATTCAACAGCGTAGACAGAGATACACATCAGTCGACAAATCCAGCTGACATTTGGAAAATTCTCAAATGAACGGATTAAAAAAATAATTTTATTGATTACAAAATTAAATGTCGTAGGGATTATTGTTAGTATTTAATAGTAAACTGTATTATTTCAATACATTACTTCTTTTATTACTTTGAATAATAGTTAAATCTAATTTTCGTGCACTTTAAATCCTTGGGGTTGAGTTATAAACATGAATTTATTTGTAGGTTAATAGTTGTTTAGTTTTGTTCCTTTCTTATTTGCTTTTCTAAGTTAGACAGGAAGCGGCCCGCCGAACGATTTAGCCCGGCCCGGGGTCTAAATGCCCCCAGCCGGACCATTACCATTGAAAAAAAAATTAATAAAAATGGCCGACACTACGACATCAGAAGACATTTTCCGCTCTGTTGTTGGACCGGTCCCGCGCCATAAGCCTGGCTACTGATGGTGCGCCGTCAATGATTGGGAAAAAGACAGGTGTTGTGACAAAGTTCAGAGAGAAAGTACAAGCTGCAAATAAAGGGGGGAGTTTTGGACATTTCATTGTATTTTGCATCAGGAAGCATTAAGCTGCAAGTCGCTAAAAATGCACCATGTCATGGAGGTGGTTGTCCGAACTGTAAATTTCATCCGAGCCAGAGCTCTCAGTCATTGTCAGTTTGCTGAGTGAAATATTTCTCATGCATGCAATACATGTTTATGTGTGAAAGTTTTTCTATATGTATATATTTTATGCATCAACAAGAAAGGCGACAAATGTACTTCATCAAATGTCTGTTTAAAACACCTGACACTTAAAATTTCAAATGTGTGAAGCTCGCGAATTTGTTCAAATTGCTTCCCAGATGTAGAAAATTTATCTTAAATCATTTCTTAATTTTTATCTGTTCACTGCGTGTGACGTTTACGTCGCTGGGCGCCATCTTGTATGGCAACATTCCAAAACAAACCTTTTCTGATGGTTTTATAGCGTTTCCGCTGTATCTTCCTCTCCCATAATGCTGAAAAGCAGTTTGAAACAAAGTGGGATATATTGCGAAAAGCTTCTCCCAGAAGCCCCCCCAAAAAAAAACGCTACAAGGAAAAAATATCTAAAATTGAACAAATCGACCCGTTAGAAATAAAGAGTTGGAGCAGAGACCCTGATCATCCTCTAATAACAAGATAGAAAGACTTTGAATTACTTTGGATTTACACATGTACAATGAAAGAAAATCCAGTTGGAAAAGTGCAACTAAAGTATGAAATATGTACAATATAAACCTAAATATGCAACTGCCGGAGATGCATCAGCAACTCTCGCGATAAGCGAGTTAGAAAACGGATGGATGGAAACCAAACACACAAATAGTGTTGCACTCACGAAACAGACTCTTCTTCACTTTCGGCAACTTTATTTGCACATGATGTGTGTATTTGTTTTGGGTCTGCCGTTACAAAGTCCCTTCCTCCAGAGATACAACGTTTTAACTGACTACTGACACTACTTCCACTACACAACGAAACACTGACGCAGCACAAAGCTCAGATTGTGAGAAACTCCATTTTCTCTCCATTAATCAGCCGTTCTCATTGTGATGTCTGCGTTCATTTACCTGCTAACAAAACATTTATCCGGGAAAAGAGCGTTTACTAAAATGATCCTCATGCAGAAAGGTGCAGACATTTAGACCTTAACCTGCATCCAAACGCTGCTGTTTCCTACCTATTCGGTGTAAGATGATCTGGGGAGTCCGGGAGAAATCAAGCAGTCTGCGCTGATCATCCACTCTTCCTCCGACTGGACGATGATTTCTTTAAACTCTGTCAATGTTTCTGCAGTTCACTGCTCGCTGATTCACTGGTTTAAGCTGGACTGGAGATATTTATTAGAGAAAAACTCAAACATTCAACAACAGACCACGTGCCGTCCTCTCTGTCTTCTTCTTCTACCTTTTCTTCTTCTTTGTCTTCTTTGGAGTTTTATGACTGTCGTTCATTCATGTCATCGCATTACCGCCACCTTGTGGATCCTACGATCATTACAGCTACAGATTTCTCATAAAGTGCCAGTTCTCTTTGCAGAACCTAAAATCTTTTCCTAGTAACAGAATAAGCTGCAGCAGAAAAGAAAAATACAACTAAGACAAAAAAAAAAAAACACTAAATTATTGAAGACAATAATAATCAACCATACTACAGAGACAACATGCAAGTTTTTATACAATGATAAGGAAGGAAAAACAAGGGCAAGACGGTCTGGTACTTATGCAGCTGGGGAAAACAACCTTCCAGCCTTGTACAAGTAACCCAAATAGTTCTTTACAAGAAATTCAATTCTTTTGGTCAGAGTTCACAAACATTTCACATGACATGACTAGCAGATGTGACCTTACTGTAATTTTTCCATGACAACTCGTTAAAGCTGGACTGGAGATATTTATTAGAGAAACTCAAACATTCAACAAAACAGAACATCCGCCATCTCATTGTTCTTCCTCCTATTCTTCTTCTTGGAGAGACACTTACACAGACATCACATTGTTTATTCTGGATAATTTGAGCAAATAGGGTGAAATATCATTCACCTAGCGAAAGTGAGACAAAGATGGGCAACCGCCGGTCAGAGATTCGATTGTTTTCCGAGTTTTCAAATCAGTTTCAATCTCATTTTACTTTAAAGACAAAACTATCACAAAAACTTTTTTGCTAACTTTAATTAGCCAAAAATTTGGTTTAAGTTGGACTGGTTTAAGCTGGACTTGAGATATTTATTAGAGAAACACTCAAACATTTAACAAAACAGACCACGTGTCGTTCTCTTTGTCTTCTTCTGCTTCTTCTTCCGGTGTGAGGAGGACGTGAGTGGAAGAGCGGAGGAAGAGAGCTCGAGAGCGAGTGGTTTTCTATATCTTTTGTCTTTTCTTACTGTTTTTTTTGGGTGTTTAATTTACTTGTTTAATTGTTTTTTTTCTTGTGTTTAGTTTTATCACGTTTTAAGGGTTTTTGTTCGTTTGTTTGGGGTGTGGCCGTCGGGCGTGCCTGGCAACAATGGTGGGTGTTGTCGGTGGTGGGTCTTTCTCCACGCTGACACGGAAGAACGGCATCAAGGTGGGTGCTGGCTCTGTGCAGCGTGGAGGAAGTTTGTTTGGCGGTGGTGAATTGATTGGGCACGGGAGCATCAGGTCAGCAGCACGAATAAATGGGGCAGTGGTGTTGTTTGTTGAGAAAGTGGAGCACGCACAACAGGTGGTGGGAAAGGGTGTATCAATTGATGGTTTATTTTTACAGGTGTCACCTCTCACATTACGAGCACTAGGGTGTTGTTATCTAATGTTCCTCCTTTCATAAGCGACAAGTTTTTGGTAAAGGAATTATCGAGACATGGAAAAGTGGTGTCACCGGTGAAAAAGATCTTATCTGGTTGTAAGTCGCCATTGTTAAAACATGTTGTCTCCCACTGGAGACAACTTTTCATTATTTTAAACAGAAAAGACAAGGTGTCAACGGTAGCAAGGGAACAGAGGGTAGGTGGGGAGTTTTTGAAGAAAGTGAGTGTTGAGTTAGTGGAGGGAAGTGGTAGGAGTGTGTGTGAGAGAGAGAATGAGAGCACGGTGGTGTGTGGTGGTGGGCTGACTGGTGATGGTGGTGAGAGTGTAGAAGGGGAGAGTGGAGATGTACAGGGGGGGCAGGAGGAAGGAGTGAAAGAGAACATGATACATCTAGTGTGTGGAGATATGGGAGAGAGAGGAGAGGGACAGGTGGATGATAAGGTGAAAGAAATAAACAGTGAGAATCAGTTGCAAGAGGTGGAACAGAGAAAGAAAAGGGTGAGGCAGAGGAGGAAATGGATTTGGAAGCGAATACTCCGGCAAGGAGACGGAGTAAGAGGGAATGTGGTGACTGCAGATCAGGCCAGCAGGCAGGCTAATAAGGTAACTGGAGAGAGGAAAGAAATGTCTCAAAGCAGTGATGAGGAGAGCTGTTTTTCTGACACCAGTGAGATCTCGATGTCACAAGGGAGTAAAGAACCAAGATACCCAGTAGAAACTTTTAGAACATTCATAAAAGAAACGAAAGGACTTAGGGGTATAAAAATAGAAAGCTATTTTCCTGACTTAAAAATATTTTATTCCTCTGCAAGATATTATGCAAACACAAAGAAGTATCAGGGTTTATGGACACAGAGGTTTTTAGGTTAAAGAAAATAATGACGAAAGTTAGAAAACAGTTTTAATGATGCATAATAGCTTTTTAACATTACTCACGGGTTGTTTTTTGTATTTTGTTTTTTAGCCTTTTACTCATTATGAATTCGTTTAAGATTGCATCTTTAAATCTTAATGGGGCGAGGGAGGCTAAAAAAAGGCTTTGGTTTACCAAATGATCAATCAGAAAAGAATTTATGTTTTGTTCAAACAAGAAACACATAGCGATCAATGACTGAAAC